AGATCATGTGACACATCTGCATGAGACCTTTGACATTTGAGAGCCTACGAGATGAAGCTGAACCCCGAAAAGTACACCTTCGGCATTATTTCAATAAAAGTGCACTTTCTAGGCTTCATGGTCAACAAAAGGGGTATTAAGGCCAAACTAGACAAGATTAGAGATACTGGAGATGAAGTCCCTAGCTTCAATGAAGGAGGCCCAGCACCTTAACAGGGGAATAGTAGCCCTTAGCAAGATTGTCTCAAAATTAGCAAACAAATGTCTACATTTCTTTAAGATCATCCACAAATATTTTCAGTGGGGACCAGACACAGAGGAAGCCTTCCAAAAGTTAAAAGCCTACATTTTACACTCCCCTTGCTCTCCCGTGCCATACTAGGAGAGACCCTATATTTCTACCTCTCCTGCTCGTCCTCTGCCATGAGCCCCATCCTTGTCAAGGAGGATGAAGGAGTCCAGAGGCCAATATACTACGTAAGCAAAGCGTACCGAGGAGTGAAGTTAAGATACTTAGAGCTAGAAAAGTTGGCCTTTTCATTTGTCATCGCCACTAGGCGCCTATAACATTACTTCCAGAGTCATACCATCGTACTTGTTATAGATCAACCACTCAAGAGAATCTTGCAAAAGCCTGACGTGTCCGGTCGACTCCTCAAATGGGCCATCGAGTTGAGCGAGTTTGACATGCAGTACCAGCTAAGGCGGCCATAAAAGCACAAGCAATTACCAACTTTGTGACCGAGTCTACACCACCACAAGAATCCCAAGTAGAAGTACCACACCCCCTGTGTTGACCTACCCAGTACAAAGCACCCTAGACATCATCCCCAAAAAGCCTGGCGCCTTGGAGGTAGCCTTTCAGGCCCCTAAAGACCACACTCTAAGGCCAAAGGCCCCTAGCTCCCTTGTACCTTCTCCTCCAGAGCCCTTAGCGCCCTCTCTACCCATAACTCAACTACTGTACTCCCGCCTGAGTGCCCTGTTGCACTTAAGCAGGCATCCCTTACTTGCACTATACTATGTTGGAGACTATATGTCGATGGATCTTCTACTTGCAAAGCCGAACTGATCATTCCTATGACACTCCACTCAAGTATGTTGTCTAACTCCATTTCGCAATATCAAATAATCAAGTAGAGTACGAGGCCCTCATATCAGGTTTGAAGCTTGCGATTGAGATGCAAGCCCTCTACCTGACAACTTATAGCAAATCCTAGCTGATAGTCAACCAGGTAAAAGGAGATTTTGAAGTGAAGGAGGAGAAGATGCAAGAATACCTATCAATGGTCCAAGCCTTGTTCAAAACGTTTAACCACTTCCAAATCTACCATCTGCATAGGGAGTAGAATGCCATGGCAGATGCTTTCACCAAGTTCCCATCTACAAACATGTTCATGGGCCCAGCATTGACAGGCCACCAATTTGAACCAAGCAAGCTCAAAGTAGAGAAGTACGATGTTAATTATGCATCCCTTGAAGCCAATTGAATGACCCATATTCGAGCCTACCTAGAGGAAGGAACTCTCCAAGAGAATCCAGGGGAAGCCAAAAAGTTAAGAATAAGAGCATCTAGGTACGTCATCCGATGTGACACTCTCTACAAGAAAAGCTATACACTTCCCCTACTCTGCTGCCTCTCCCCCCAAGGAAGCCGATTATGCCATCAGGGAAATCCACGAGGGGATATGTGAAAACCACTCAAGAGGGCGGGCACTAGCTCACAAGGTAGTAAGGCAAGGATATTACTAGCCTAGCATGATCACAGATGCCCGTGAGTTTATGTGGAAGTGTGACAAGTGCCAGCACTTTACAACAGTGCCCAGACAGCCACCAAAAGAACTCACCACCATCTTAATCCCCATGGCCCTTCTCCATGTAGGGGATCAATACCCTATGTCCCCTACCCATGAGTCGGGGCCAATGCAAAATTGTGGTATTAGCCATTGACCACTTCACAAAGTGGGCAAAAGTCGAGTCCTTATCCAAGATAATAGACCAGAAGGTGAAGGACTTCATTTGGAGGAGCATAGTCTCCCATTTAGGAGTACCTCATGTTATAGTAAGTGATAATGCCAAACAGTTTGACAACAAACTTCATAATTGCTTCTGCGCTGACCTACAAATCAAGCAAGCCTACTCCAGCCCAGCCCATCAACAAGCGAATGGGCAGGCAAAGGTGACTGTCAGAAGCATCCTCCATAACTTGAAGACCAAATTGGAGAGAGCCAAGGGGCAATGGGTGGATGAGCTTCCAAGAGTACTATGGGCTTTCCAAATAACTCCAAGAAGCCCTATAGGAGAGACCCCTTTCTCCTTAGCTTATGGGACAAAGGTAGTCATATCAGTCAAGATTGGGGTAAATTCCCATAGGGTCCAACACCATGACCCTACCACTAATGAAAAAGGCCTCCACATTAACCTCGACTTAGTAAAGGAGGAGAAGGAGATGACTATGCTCAGTAATATAGAGTACAAGCGTCGCATGACCAAGTACTACAGCTCGAAAGTGAAGCCTCGCTCGTTTGTGCCTGGGGACCTAATCCTCAAAAAGGTCATCCTATCTACCAAGGACTTTCGAGAAGGGAAGTTAGGCCCAAACTAGGAAGGACCCTACATGGTCACAGAAGTTGTAAGACTAGGGCACCTACAGAATTCAGAACTATGAGGGAAAGCCCCGGCCCATCCATGGAACACGAAAAACCTGAAGATGTATTACCAATAACTAGGGGCAAGTCAGTAGGTGTAAAAGTCAGCATTTATTATTTAAATTATCTTTTGTTTTTTTAGTCAATTTTGTTTATCTACTTCAAATTATGAAATAAAACTTTGCAAGATTATCTTTTTCAAAAATTGTTTCTCATTCCATAGAAGTTCATAAACTATTTACAAAAGATAGAACATGACCCAACAACAAAAACAAAAAGATAAAGGTATTACCCTCTTGACATCACTCATTGCTGCCCAATCCACTCTCATCAAAGCTCTCCTCATCACCATCAGTCCCTGGTGCCTCATAGGGGACAAGTCCAGAAAAGTCAATGCCAGGGAAAGCCATTGAGATCTTTCCCTTGAGCTCCTCATAACCATCAATGAAGATGCCTGCAATTGCCCTCTTAACAGCCTCCCTCCTTTCCTCAATCTCAATGGATGAGCCTCTGCCCTAAAAGCTCTCTCAAGAGCTACTCACAGGTCAGCCTCTGCCATGGCAGCCCTATCCCGAGTTATCCGTAGCTCAGTCTCTGCTCCAACGGCCCTCTCGTGGGACGCTTGTAGCTTTGTCTTTGCTCTCGCACAAACAGCCTCCTTATCAGCCTCCAATTGGGCGACCCTCTCACAGGACACTAGAAGCTCGATCTCAAGAGGTGCATCTCTCTCGTGTCTCGCTTGAACTAGTCTTTGACAGCCTTTCATACTTGCCTCTTGAGCCCCAACTATTCTTCTGAAGCCTATCGGGCCTATCTCTCATTTGCTAGATCCCTGAATGCTTCTCCAAGCTTCATCATCCTTGAAAAAAGGCATAAAAAAATGACAGTCACCTGCAAGAATTCCAAAAAATCAAGACATGAGAAAAATGAGGCAGGTACAAAATCAAAATGAATTAAAAGCCATGCCATGACAAATCCCTCCATCGCGGTATCAATAATGCCCTTTAGACCATGAGAGCCGACCTCTCTGATATCCACAATGATCACTTACCCTAAAGTCATTCCTTGGCTAGATTCGCATCCCACAGCATGGACACTAAGTCACTACTGGAAACTAGACAACTACGTGGAACTTCGGACCTGGCAGATGGCCGCACAGGAGTCTCGACCCATAAAGTAGTAGCCTAACTAACCCTAGCACTCGAAGGAACTGTGTGCTAAGAAGGAATAGGAGCACCCTCTAATCTAGCATCTTGGGATAGAACATAGCTATTGGACTGCCAAGAGGCGCTTGGGGCATCAACCTTCACCCTCTAGGAAGGAGGAGAAAATGCCACCTTGGAGGCATAAAGAGCCTCTGTCATTGCTCTATTAACAGTGGGACTTCTGAAGCCAGTGTAAGACGAAGAACCTGTAATATTATGGTTATCAAAAGTCTATTGGAAGAATCAAATACCTTTCCTCTTCTGCCTAAGGGAGGCTTTAAGATGACCCAATGCAGACATGATGGTTGGAAACTCCTTGAAAGGATGATCTCACACAACCTAAAGCCTACTCTCCTGCTCTAAAGATAACGTGGATGGAGTTGCAAAAGGACCAAGCACACAATAAGTACAGGGACATGACAATCAAATGAAAAAATGAAGGAAAAAATCCTTACCTAGCTTGGTCTTCGGAGCAGTGTCCTACCTCGAAGGCACCAGGTCATTGTCTTCTTCAACTGCTCACTCACCTCCACCAAAGAAGAATCTATATTTTCAACTATAGCAATTTGAAGGCAGTCTAGTAATGAATTTTCCCGACCTTGGCACAAAGTGGTACCACCCCTAATGAGGAGTAGGGTTATCTAGAAGTGCATACGAGGCCAAGAACTTCTCAAAAGGAGGAGGAATGTTAGTACTAAGGACCAATCGCCATAGCGAGAAGAATGCCAGAATCACCCTCCAACGGTTGGGGTCAACCTACCTAGGGCCAGTGATACGTGTCCTAAGATCCAATAGATGGGCCTGGGTATAGGAAACCTCAACCCCGCCTCCATGACGTCCTCGTAAAAAATGATTTCTCCTAAGGAGTCATAACATGCTAGTTTGTCCCTCTCGGCCCGACAACACATAATAGCAGGAGGAATGTGGTACAAACATATGATGTGGCCAATATCGTTGTCACAGTCAATTGAGCTAGAAATAGAAGATATCTTGGACCCATCGCCTTCAAAAGCTCCTTTGCCTTAGCACAAAGCCTGTGTAAAATTTGCCATACTGCCCCTACCAGATCGGGCACCTTTCAAAATTAAAGCTAAGGTCAAAATTCTAGTATCAAGTAGACACTAAAGCAAGAAAGTCAAGTGGTCACCTCAACTTCACAAGTTCTCGCGCCCAGCCCGCTTGCGTCGTCTGGCTTGCGACCGTCATCGCCCTGTGCCTGGCTGGCGTCACCCATCGCCTGGTGTCGCCCTTCTCTCCTTTTCCTCTCCTAGCGTCACCCCAATCCCAACTGTTTCCTAGTGTCACCTGCATACTAGGCCTGCTTGACCGAAGCTCAACATCGACCAACATGCTGGCACTGCCTAGCGCCTTGCTAGCGTTGCCTAGCAATTGGGTCCTTGTGCTGGCATCGCCATCTATTATGCCTTCTAATGCAGTGCTCCTACTTTCCAACACACACAAGGCATCGCCCAGATCCCTCATCTAGCTAACATTGGCATCGCCTCCTACCTGTGCTGCCTCATCGCCTAAGCTTCTAGTCACTTCAGTGCTATTACCCATCCCAATAACAACGTCACCCAGCGCGCTGGCATTGCCCAGCAGCTCGTTTGTTCCCCTGATGCCCGCCCAACAACTCCGCATATGTTTCTTTCTCTAAGCTACCGCACCACCTCGCCTGTTCCCTTGACACCGCCTCTTACCACCTTGCAACCTTGGATCACACCGCTCCTCTCCTTTGATAGTTTTTTTCTTGAGGCATCATCCATCGAATTCCTCTTTCTTCAATTTCTCCCCACTGTCAATGGGAGTTTGCAACTTTAATGGGAAGGTTTGTAAGGAAAAATGGAAAAAGGGGCTCTTTAAATGTTTGACCTCTTGAAACCATAAAAATGATGCCCTAAGTAAGGAAAAAAAGGGGGGCTTTTGAGTAAAACGACGTGAAGTCTCCTCTAGAGTGGGAGTAACTCGGTAGGTGTCCGACAGATAAACAGGAAAAATGAGAAAGTAAGCTCCCGAGGTGTTGAAGGTTGAGGAAGCTACCACCATGCGGAACAACTTGTTCAAATGAAGGGGCTCACTCATGCCCTCAATCTCTTGTCATCATAAGGGCTTGGGGGCATGGGGGCAAATGATGAGCTCAGATCTAACTAGGTTAGGCCCAATTAATTAAGTAAGCTCAAAATTAGCTACAAAGTAGGTCGAGCCTAGCTCATGGATCCAGTCCAGTCTAAAGCTCAAGGATTCCAAGAAGATTAGTGCACATGGGAATTAATTATCGGGATAGTCATTACTTCAAGATAGTGTCTATCCTCAATTGTAGCTATCATCCCCGATAGATTAGTCACCTATCCCTTCACGCCACCACCTCAACTAAGGCTCTATGCCTATAAATTGTAAGTCCTCTCCATAGGAAAGGGGCACATCTCTACATCCCACACATTGTCATCTCTCTCATAGCTACTTCACCACACCTATGGGTTACTCATGCTCTCTCTCTCTCTTTCCCGTCAACTACTTTATCAGTAAAGTCCTCCGACCACCATTGCCGCCTTTAAAGTGGAGTATGTCACTCTTACAAAAAAACTCTATATCTATGTTGCTTGGTGGATCTCATCTTTACATTTACTACACTTATTACCTATATTAATTACTCGATAGGTGGTGCATAAATTCCCTTTTGTGCATCATCAATTAGCACTCCACCATGACCCCCTAACCACTACATTCAGTTTTCAAGCATGAATGATGGAGGGAAGAAAAGAAAATAAGAGGAGAGGGGGAGTGGTTGGAAAGGACAATGAGGCCATGCTTTTGCTAAATTAGGAAGGAATCTTGGATAATCTCTCTCCAATCAACAGATCTTAGCACTTTTTAGAGGAGGGAGAGTATTATGCATGAAATTTATGCAAGAAACACATTATCACATTCAAGCTTCTAGAGAGAGAACCTCCTAGGAAGAGGAACCGTTGTGTTAGAGAGAGAAAGCTTGGTTTTTGTATTTTCTTGCTCATTTTCATCCTAGTAAGTTTCTAAAGCCTACAATTTTCACTTTCAATGATGAATGCATTTTGTTAGAGTTTCACTGCGACATCGGGTTCAGTGAAACTCCATTTTCAAGTATTTGAACGTTTTGTGCTTTAACTTCAATGTTTTTGGATATTTGATCAAGTTTTAAGTTGTTTACCCTTTTCTTTGGCTATTTTAAGTTAGTTTTTGTTTCCTTTGCAATGTTTTCCATTGTCCTTGGTAATTTCATTTCATCTATGGCCAGCTAAACCATTTGTTGGTGAAATCCAAGGAAGGATTTTCATCTGGGTATGTGAAAATTTATCTTCACACACATTGTCTTTTAGTATAGTTTGTTGAATTTGACAATTTAGATTGCAACATATAGGTTTGTACACATTTGATGCACCGTAGACTTGTCACGGGGCATGCTTATCGTCCCTTCAAACACATATGAATCAATCTTCCTACGGATCAATTTAACACCAATACCCACATTTAGTAATTCTTGATTTCCAACTCCCATATTTTGATTGAACAAAAAGACTTTTGAGTTCAATTGAGCTATAAGGAGGATTAATTAACCATACTCGGTGGGATGAATTCTGAGGATTAGTCAACCCTTTTTATTTATAGATTTTCAAACCTATAATCTAATGATTCACCAACACTTTCAAAGAACCAATTTTTACTTTTATTTTCAAAATCACTTTGGAAACACTTAGTCTTGACCTTCCTTGATGAGACGACCTCGAAAAAAATTTTGAGTTAATACATGACACATAAGCCTCCTTGCGCTTGGGGAGCAACTTTTGCACTATCATAATTTTGAGAGTACACCACTTTGACACCCACAATCATTCTGACACACTCTACAAAATAAAGAAGGAGGAGAAATAAACACTCAAGCAATGATGGAAGATGAAATTTGAACTGTATTATATGTTTTGGTTTAGAGTTCAACTAGTTGAAACATGAGTTGAACCGGTTGAAGAGTATGTTGAACCAGTTGATCGATGAACCGATTGAAATTGACCCAATTCAAGAGTATCCAGTACTTGGGGCTAAACCTGTTGAGTAGGTTGAACTTGTTGGACTTGAACAGGTTCATCAAGTCTACTTTTGGCTATTTTGTTGTGGAGCTCTAGGCTTCCATCCAACTTTCCTAAAAACTTGTTGAGGCATCCAATAGACTTCAAACAAGTTCTTCATGAATCTAGTTGCTTACAACTTCACAAATTGGGGATTGAACTTAGAATTAAAGAATGCAAGCTAGGTAATTGGTAAGCAATGATTTTGGTGGATTAAAGTATACCACCTAGAGAGGAATTTAGAAATGTATTAATGTGGGTATGAATACGTAAGCATACATGCATAATTAAGATAAAATGCATATGTGAGGGATATTTACATGTGGTTTATTATGATATGTGGTAAGAACAGAGGCGTTGACCCCTACGTCAAGTATGCGTGAAGTCTCATTTGGGGACTATGTTTTTACTATAGTTGGACCTGGGGTTGACGTACTACTATTTGTATGTTCTTAAAATGGCGTGAAAATGCTTTAAGTGTTAAATATGTGTGATGATATGATTTACTGCTCATAATTGGTACTATAGGTGTGCAATATCATATTATTGACAATAGCAAGAGTATATTGAGCTTATGTATATATGAATGTGCGAGTAGAGGGTGTTGTGAATATATTGTGATTATGATATGCAATCCTTCTGATGGAGATAGTTTTAAAAACTAATGTTATTTGCAGTTAATGAATAACTGTGTGGATTATTGTTTGGTGAAGACTACACTGTGATATGTTAGTGTTGTCGTTATGTTAAGTGGCCTTGTTGGAAAATAATGCTATAATGAAAATTATATGGCTTGAGTGACATATACTGTTAAATGATAATTATGTAGCTTGAGTGGCGGACATTGCCTGTGTGGTAGATATTACCTGAGTGGCAAGTGTTGCTTGTTTGGCAGAAATGGCCTGAGAGGTGAATATATATATCCTACTAGATGCTATGATGAATTGAATTGATATTTAATCTTATTGGATGTTGTGATGAATTGATATATTATGGGATGATTGCAGGAGGAATGTGGAAGCTTTTATTTAACGGCTTAAAGAACTGTTCAGTTATTTGGTAAGATGATTATTATTTTATGTACTACAAGCTATCGTTGTTATTTTTTATTTGGTTGTGTACACTCACTGAGAGTTTGCGCTCACCCCCCCCCCCCCCAGTTTGTATTTTCAAGTAAACAAAGAGAAAGGAATGTGAGTTTAGGCGGTATAAAAAGGAATTGAGTTTTCTATGTCATTTTGCATAATTTTGAGTTATCCAAACTAGGGAAACTAAACAGTGTATTCAAGAGTACAGTTTCATGTACATTGTTTGCTGGGATGCTAAAAGAATAAAAGTTATTTTGTCATATCGATCGATTCAAATTATTGTTTTAAAGTAGATTTATGTACATGGTATTGGTGTGAACGAAGTAGTGGGGGTCCACTCTATCGGATATGGACATGATGTCTTATCTTTGGGTTGGGGTGTGACATTTTTTGTATCAGAGCATATGTTTGATAGGTTCTGTAGACATCTGAGTCTAGGTCAGCATTGGAAAAGGTAGGATGATGGTGTGTTTGTGTATTGTGTAGGGAGTTAAACATTAAGATGTTAATGTTATGTATGTACACATTTATTGATATGGATTTCTAGTTTTGTAGCACTGTGAATCAGGGATTTTAAAAGTAATTCGGATCAGATAAAGATGGAATGTTCTTAATTTATCCTTATGTAGAGAGATGGGATGGACAACGTTAAGAGGGGCAAAGATTAGTTAAATTAGTAACGGTTAATTTAAGTGTAGTTAATATAAAGGTTTGAATGAATACGCAATGAGTTTGATTTATTGAAATTTAATTAAAAACACAGGTAATAACATGGGTGTAGCAACTAGCATGTTATGGTGAGTTATTGTAGCACTGATTATGGGAGATTTATTAAATTGTGATTAGTATGTGTTCTGTGTAGGAAGCAAAGACAATTGACAACCTTACTTGTATAGGTGAAGTTTTATGTTAGTACATACTAATTGTGGATGGATTGTGGAAGTGTCTAAAATCAAATATTTCCTAAACAATATTGTTATGAGTAGAAAACAGCTTCTATGTTTTAAACTCAGAGGAGGATGTCTCTGGCAGAGTAAGGAAAATAAAACAATCTATTATTTTATTTGTTCCCCTGGCATAGAGCTTTGGTTCTTAGTTCACTTAATCTCTAATCTCTTTCAAGTATTTAATTGAGTTTAGATACAAACTCGTGGATCAAGCGGTTTACAAATACATGTTTCATGAATTTAAATACAAACTTAGCTTAGGGAAAAAGAATGATGAGTAAGTGATGTCTAAGTGGCTAGAAATATATTGTTTGGAAAAGGGTTTGGGAATGAGTTGATCTATCAAACAT